GACGATTCGTCTTTAGCCAACGACAGTTGAAGTCAAGGCGAGTTGTGACTTCAAACAAGAGGAGTCTATACTTTCAACCCATTTCCCAAACCATGATGCTAGTGACATCCAGAATGCCCAAAATCATTCACCTCTCTCTCTCTCTCTATTTTAAACATTCAACTCTCAGTTAACACTGACATAAGGTCTGTATCTGAACAGGGCAAAGCTACACTTCCCTCCACCACCCATACGGCTACTTACAAAGATACTGCACTACAAGCGACAAGAACTCTTTATCAGCTACTATGTCTCTGTTTTAAAGAACTGAGGAATCTAAGAGTCTATGTAGAAGCATCAACTGGGTAACTTTACGAACCAGGAAAGATTTTCTTACAAATGCCAATTCAGAGAAACTCTAAATCTCAACAATGTGGCTCAAAGAGACTCAATTTCATAAACCAATCAAGAACAATCATTAAAACCAATAAGAAGAAAAAGAAAACCATTGGCATTGACAAGTAAATTCGACAAGACGAAGATCTAAAGACTCAACAACAAAAAGAGAGTTGCTTACAGATACGAAAAAGACAACATTTTGGAGGAATATCAAACCCCTGGATTCGCACTGAGCATACCCTGAGACAACGACCTTGAGTTCAATGAGTCAATACCAAGACACGAAGTCAATCGAGCTGAAGAAACCGCACTGTGAAGAGGAAGCAGAGACTGAAGCGAGCCCAATTGAGCAATCGGTGGTCTGTTTTCAATCAACCCAAAAACATCGAATTGAGGAAAGCGAACCAACGGAAATCAAAACAGTGACTCTAATTGTGGGGGAAAAAGGAAGGGTTTTTACCTCGCAGGTCCAAGCGAAGGACGGAGACCGAAGAATGATGAAGCCGATTTGGGTTTGTTTGTAGCGGATTTAAACATGGAAAGAGCCGGTTTGGAGAAAGATCGGCATCGAGAAGCCATTCTTGCCGAGAACGAGACGGATGCAATGCAGAGTGAAGTCGGATTCTAGGTTAGCTCCGAGAAGACGAGAGCGAGGATTTTTTCGCGATATAGTAAACGACGCCGTTTCGAAAATATTTAATTAGTAAGGTTTACAAACGAATTATTAATTAAGCATTTGCACTCTATGTAAAGAGAAAAAATAAGATGAAAATTTAGAAAACAAATAGCGATTTTTGCATGCAATTTTTTTTTAATAGTAGTAAATAACGATATTTGCATGCAATTTTTTTTTTAATATAATTTATCTGCTACGATACCAACTACT